CGATAAAACATGGAAAGCAGGCTACGTTTATCACTCTATATAACTTTACATGATTTCTTTTGGTCGTAGTACAACTGTTGCTGATGGCGGCTTCTTGGTTCGGATGAAGTATCATGTTTATAGCGTCCTGGCAAACATTGGCGCTGCCCTGCCGTGTATCTCTGCCTGGTCCTCTGGCCTGCCTCGTGTCACCGGTCAGTCTTGCCACTCACAGTGCTCACAGTGTAATGCAACTATTGTATACAAACTTCATAAAAGTACAAAAAAGACTATTTTAATCATCATTAAGATTTGAAGTCTTTTAAAACTTGTACTGTGTGGATGAATTATGACCAGAAGCTGTGATATTTAGTTCTTTTTAAATTAATCTGGTTTCTATGTCTCATGTAAACAAACACAGTGTCACACCATGACCCTGAGCTGACCTTTAACCACAGCTTCATTGAGCCTCCTTCCTCTGGCTGGGTGACGGAGGGATCGTCCTTCGACAGCGATGAGGAGACGGGAGAGGCTCTTTACTGCGTCCCTCCAATGGAAGGTAGGGGCAAAAATAAAGTTCACCAGTTAACAAAGTTTATAGTGCCCTCTTTTGGTGCAAGGTAGAACTGCCACTTTTAAAAACTCTTTCTGGCACTGGTTGATGTTTTGCTCTGTTTCTGTTAGACATCCCGGCTGTGGCGGGCGGTGAGTTCCAGGAGATGAGCTCAAAGTGTAACATGTTCTTAGACCCGTCGGGCTTCAGCAGCGAGGACATCTCCTCACCCTTTAACATCCCTCGCACCTCCAGCATTGCCAAGGCCAAGCGGCCATCCGTTTCATTTGCAGAAGGCACCCGCTTCAGCCCCAAAGAGAGGCGTGGCTCTGCTCAGGACCCTTGTGCTCTCCCTCGCAGCAAACCCAAATCATCCTGGGGGGTTCTGATGCTATCGGCCCTGCAAAGTCAGGGAAGCACAGCTAGAACTGGGGAGGGGAACGGACTTGAGGGCGAGAAGGAGAAAGATGGAGTGGATGTGACCGACAGTCAGGAGTTAAACCGTGAGGAGGCTGACCAGGAAGTAGACAGAACCCCATCAAGATCCACTCTGCAGGTTCCTGGAGCATCAGGACGGAGACGGACTATGTCTAACACAGCTGCTCATAAAGGGACATCGTCCACCTCTGATGCTCAAGAAGGGGGCTCTCATAAGGTCACCACTGTGTATGTGACGGTGGGTAAGGCGGGTAAGCCCATCGCAAAAACAGAGCCGAGCTCTGAGGGGCCCGTTCAGGCGATGCTGCGAAGACTGGGCAGCCTCCAGAGGCAAAAAGAGCAGGAGTCTGGCAGGCCTAAGCCGAAGGGGAGTGAAGGCATCATCAAACCACCCAGGAAGAAGCTGGGAGCTCGGGCGGCTGTTTGGGAGCAGGGAGGACCGTCTACAAGGGAGGCTGGAGTTTGTAAGCCAATCAGGAGGAAGCACTCCTCCCACAACTCCTCTGATGCAGCTGGATCGAATGGCACACTGCCAGCAGAGAGTGGCACTCCAAAACAACCGCTGTCGTCCATTTTAAAGAGCGTGCCTGAAGTGGCGTCAGCTGACTCGGGGTCTAATCTGCGGGCCGAAGGAGACGAAAGGCAGCACGCTGCCCCGCATCATGAAGAACAAATTGAGAGCTCCTACCGGACTCTGAGACCCGTGGGAGATGGCGCAAGCCCCATTGAAATCATCACCAACGAAGGAGCGGTGGTCAGTGTGACTGATGAACCCTGGTACGAAAATGTCCAGATCAAAAACTCGTGACCTCTGAGAAAACGTGTCAGCAGGACTGATCGAAAAACAGCCGCATGTTTGTTATCCTGCAGTTATAACTGAACAATGGGGAAAGCTTCTCTGAGAGATTTGTGCAGCTGCAGCTCACATGACTGAAATGACAGAGAAATTGTTCATTTAAAAATAGCAACCGTTAATGAAATTTCAAACAACAGATGGAACAAGAAAATAGGGTGTTTTCTAACAAGAACGCTACACAGTCCGTTGTTGCCTTGGTGTTGTTCCCACACTGTAACCCATGTTTCCCCAGTACCATGACTCTGAACTGACCGATCATGCTGTTATGAATTTTTATCTTTGCAACTTAGTTTTTCTTCAGGCTTTTTCAATACTCACTAAACATATTTTCCCTAAACCTGTAACCAAGTGTTTCTGGCTTAACCTAAAAACAACTACAACTGAAAACTGAAACTACTCTTTTTAGTATTATTTTAATCTAAGCCTAAAAATCAAAATATTTACTTTTACATTAGCACAAACTTACAGTCTCGTGGGTGAAAGTCCTGCATTTAGACTTTCATTAGCCAACAGCTTTAGGAGCAACATCAGCTGGGTCCTGGGTTTGAATCCATTGGCTGTTTTGGGGCCTTTCTGTTCTCTCTGGGCACTCTGAGTCCCTCCCGCAGCCCAAAGACATGTATGTTAGATTAATTAGTGAACCTAAATAGGCTGAAAGTGTGAATGTGAATGTGTGACGACCCATGGAATTGGCTCCAGCACCCCCATGATGGATGGATGGACAGATGTAATATCTGCACCTGTTGTGCTTATGTAGTCAGAAAGGATAAATGGAAGTAAAGAGTGGAAGTTTGTGGAAAAAGAAGCAGTGATGAACATCTGGGTGGGTTCCCAGAAGATAATAAAATGAGTGTGATGAACTTTTTGATTGATTTGATTCATTCAGTTAAGTGTGAGGAAAGGATCTGAGTCTGCTGCTCTGTGGATATTTTATTAGTCTTGGATGAAACTCAGGTAAGAACAGGCTGTAACAGATTGTAGTCGCGATTCACTCAGAATCAGTACATGCTTTACACATGAGGGAAAAGCCCGGCGGGGTTGTTTATTCTATCGTATAAATCAGTCAGAGAACTGGAATTGTAAAAATGTTTGTACTTCTGTGACCCGATGTTAAAGTTTCCTGCGAGTCCACAGCGCACAAACACTGCTGTGGGGTTAGAAACACATTACTGCCCTGCTTGTGACCACTGGTGAAGTAAACCTCCCCTGAAGTCTGTGTTAATATTTTATAGCATTGTTATTTCACTGTATAAACATGACCGTGATTAATAAAAAGACAATAAACACTTTGGCTTTTGTAGATACATTATTCAGAATACACAGTAATGAATACAGTAATAATTGCAGATTAATTATCATTAACAGAGTTTAGCTGTCAGACGGATAAACGTTGCTGTCTCTGGGTCTTTCTGTTAAATCTGTTTTTCACTTTAGCTGCGTTTAATAAAGCTGACTGAAAGTCAACCAGCTGAACTTTGGCCCTAAGCTGCATGTGGACTCTCACCGATACACCAATATTTGCTGAAGTCAGCTAGCTGTGTGTTACACTGCGCATGTTCAACACTTAACCCCTACCACTGCCTACTGCAGTAAAAACAACAGCTCTATTATACGCTAACTGGGTTGCACTGATCAAAATAACAAACGAAAATTCTGGAAACTACTTCTTCTCTGCTCCAGGGGTGTCCGAACAGCCGAGCCAGTACTTGGCGATGGATCTGGGGTACGGAGGAACAGCAGGATCAACTCTCTTAGTCCTGATATCCACTCTGTAGTATTTATCTAGAAAACACAAAAACTCACTCAACACATGCTTACCAGTCACAGTCATTAGTCACAGTTAGCATTCATATTGTCTGCTTTGTACACATACTATACTATTATTATAGTGTGTGGAGTAGTGGTTAAACATAAACCAGAATGACACTGAATATGACGTAAAGATTACAAACAGAAATGCACTTGGAGTAAAGTATAAAACAGAAACAATTTTAGGCATCTGTTTTTTGCTGTATGAACTATATACAGCATTAAAAATGTAATGAAACTAGTGTGTGGTGAGAGATAGCAGAGCACGTTAGTTCCTGTTGCCTCCCCCAGCTGTCTGCCGTCTACAGCTGTGACTCAGCTCTTAGTTTATGTGCCATCAGTGTGAAGATCAAACACACAATATTTGAACAATGATAAAATCATCATTGTTATTTAGTCATTTAACCATTATTGTAGTAGCCTTCACAAGCATTGCTGTTAATAACGACCCTGTTTTTGCTGTGGGGGATTGTGAGCGTGAGATTTTTTTTTTCTTTAACATCCTCATCTTCCTTAAAATAGATTTGATTTGATTACAGTTCCCAGGAAACCTTGAAATAAAGACAATAACTCATGGGATATGCCTTTTCTCTTTCCTTCTGCTCTAGCTGACTTTGTAATGATTAATGTACACTCACTGATAACTTCATTAGTTAGGGGTAGAATGGTGAAGAAAGGTTGTTTTTGACTGTCACAGGGTTGTTAGTCACCTCAAGGTGCTTTAAATTGTACAGACCCTACAGCAAAACACAGAAAACCCCCAAAATTAGACAGCCCCCTGTGAGGAAGCATTTGGTAACAGTGGGAAGGAACCTCTGGCAGAACCAGGTTCAGGGAGGGGCAGCCCTCTGCCACAAACAGATGGAGTGTTGGAGTGTGGAAATGGCATTTTCTGTGTGAAATGCTTTGTTAATGCCAGCGGTAAGAGGAGAATAGCCAAAGTGCTTCGAGCTGATTGGAAGACAACAGTAACTCAAAAAAGGCACTCTTTACAGCCAAGGTATGCAGAAGAGCATCACTGAACGCTCAGCCCTTTGAAGCAGATGAACTACTGCAGCAGAAGACCGCACTGGATGCCACTTCAGCCAG